AAGTTAATTAATTAATTTTAATAATAAGTTAATAACTTTGTTGCAGTTCGCAGGAAAAAGAAGAGGCATAAGTTGAACAAATACATCATCCCCCTGATCGTAGGATTCATGTTGATCAAGTCGATCCTGTTGCCCATCGCGTTGAAGACTTTGGCGATTTTGAGCGGCAAGGCGGTGGTCCTGAGTCTGATGAGCTTGATCCTGGCGGCCATTGTAGGATTGAAGAAGGTCGCTCAGAGTCACGCATCGGGCTACGAAGTCGTGAACGTGAATAAATACAAGAGGCACGACATGTTCGACACTGGAGACGACATGATGGACAGCGAGCCTTATAAATTTTACAGGGAACGGCGCAGGAGAAAGTAAAGATTCATATCGACAAACCTCAAAATCTTTCGTTCATTTCATCCCTCGTCCCCTAGTATTTCTTCCCTCGCAGGAATCTATACAAAAATTGGTCGAGGAATCTGGTCTGGAATTTACTGCTCGATCGATCGAACGAGTTCGAGGTCTATGAAAGTATGGCCTTTAGTGCTGGCGCGAACGAAACTCGCTAATTACCGCGTTACGCAAAAGGAACGAGGCGAGAAGAACGAAAGGCGTAGCGAACCGTAGAAAGTGTTCTCAAACGCTGGCAAATCGTTATTTCCCTGTTCCGATTCCGCGGAAACAATGCGTGTAGTTAATCGACCAGATCCATCCTCGAATTACAGCGTTACGTAATGGCGTCGCATCTTCATGGAGAGAAAGTTCATCCCGAATTCCGAGAATTATGAACCCGCGTGGCAGGTACTCTCGTCGTATTGGTATACTAATCACCTCGTTACTGGGAAAAATTTTCGCGTGTCATCTTCAATTTAATCTTCGATAACGCAGAAAACAACAGTAATAATTTCCAACAGCGAATTTCGTGGAAGAAACAAATATTTAAAAATGGTAACTTACTGGTGCCATTTGCACAACTGTGCAATCACTGTCATTGAGGGTAACGAAAGAGGAACGAGCACATGAGATACGACAGACTTTTGAGCAAGTCAGGAAGTAACAGAGATAAGACTGGAAGGAGCCAGTGTCAAATAGGACGAGTTTATTCGGCTCATTGACCCCGAAATCTCACGATGGAATCTGGAGATTCCAGGGACACTGATCCTCCCTTCGGTCAAAGCTCACAGCTGTACGAAACAATGCTCTCACGACACTTCTGGCTAGTCCATGGTCTACCAAACACTCGACTGAACAGTCGAAAGTCGAAATTATACGAAACGACAATAAGAGGAAAGTAACGCAGACGCAACAGCGGTCAAAATTGAATCATCGTCGAAACAAGGTGAGTAGCCACGAAGAAATTTCTCCGTTTAACGCCTGCTATTTGCATACTGGATCCCCAATCCACCTCCCGTGTCCCATTCTTCTCTGATCCTCGTAGTCAGCGAATTGTTCACTGTTCGCTGTCAATCTAACCCAAACCTTCCTCCAGAATCTGCCAAGAACGGGGGAACGTAAACGCAGATGGCTCGCGTGACGATCGGAACTCGGGGACTTCGTGGCCGTAAGCGTAACCTAGAAAATTAATCGCGAAAATCCATCGAACGAATACCGTTAACACCGAAATGACGAAGTTCCGCGAGGCTGTTAAATATTTAAAGAGAGCCGGAACGAGACAATGGCGAGGCGCCCGCGAATAAGGCAGTTGCCATTCCGAGGCACGCACTGCTCGATAAAACTGTCCCGATGAGATGTACGCATTGTTGGACATTGTTTGCCGAACGAGTGACAGCGCCTGGGCTACTTCTCGCTGATTGTCGAATCAGGAATTCGCGCGAATCCTTATTAAAACGGGCACAGCTCGGCGAACACGAGGGTGTCCGAAAATGGCACCCTGTGTGACCGATGTATGATGATCAGATGCGAATACCTGAGAGACAGACTGAAAGAGATATTCAACGTGTTACCCCGCTCCGTTCAGTCACGTTTGACGTGCCCGTCTAACACTGTTGACAGAGCAAACAGTGCCAGAGAAAGTAGAGTTTTCTTCGGCGGTCTGTGGATGCCTCGATCTTGGAAACACGGAAAATTCCACAAGCTGGGAAAACGTGGTTTGTAAATGTTATAATTCCTGATTCACACCTGTGCACGAATAGGGTACCTGGGGGAACAATGCAAGAGCCCACGGCGCAGGTAACAAAAGGGAAACTGTTTAGAGTGGGTGTTATATCGGAAAACATTGTCGAGGATGTAATTCGTGGTATAAACCACTGATGACCGGGTCTGTGGGTCAAGGTAAGCAGCTTGCTGCACGTGGAGGTACCTGCATGTATCGGGCCTGGTCGTAGATGACACCTCAGTCCTAGAGTTCAGGAGATTACCTGAGAATACGCTGTGAATCATAAGCGTGATATCTCCATCGAACATTCAATGACGATCTATCGATGATAGAACCTTTTCCTGACGCACGAACGATCATCAGAGTCGATGAAAAGCTTCGGAGGTGTCAGAGGAGAAAAGTAGGAGGCTCGAATTCTTCCGTGGAAAATTTCGTAATCTAATTACCATCGAGATGCACCGTCGAGATCCCTTGGCCCATGGCGTCGTCATCTCCCCTACTGACCCGAATCCCGGGACCTAGCTGGGCCACCAATATCAGGGATCGCCTAGACTAAGGTCCGCCCAGCTCTAGCTACTCCGTCGACTCACGGAAGAGTCGGTCGGCAGTTTGTTTAAAAAATTATCGAAGAAAGTTCCGTCTGACGACGGGGAGGTGGGCAACGACGTACCAGCGATGACGCCTGGTGTGCCTTAGTCGTTTGTCGTCGTCACACGCGTCATCGGTTAGAGTGGGGATATTGGGGAGGGTCCCAGCTGGTGCACACCTATAAAGATAGAAGCTACGGAGGGTCAGATCACACTTTGCTCCGAAAATTTTCCGAGGGACGTGCTCGCTTCCACGACCAGACGCTTCCTCCCGTCACGATCAGCCGAAACCGAAGATGAACAAGCTAGTGATTCTGGGACTTCTCGCGGCGTCCACGATGGCCGTGCCCATGCCTAACGACGTGCAACTGGACAGGGATCTCGATTGCTTCGAGCAAGAGAACGCGCTGTTCAGCTGCGTCTTCGTGAAGACCATCAGCTCGCTCAGCAGGGCTGCCAGGTCTAGCGACATCGAGATCATCGATGGTGTAAAGTTCGTGAGGGAAACACCGAGTGAGTCGAACTTCAATCTCATCGTCCATTCTTCCGACTGTTTTTCCAACTCCTGCAAGAATTTCTTCAGTTTGAAATCTGGGAGATTTTATCAACTTGGATTAAATGGAATTATCTAACGTCCCCGTGTACCATTTCTGTTTCCAGTGGAACGCAGTGGGAAGGACTTGAAGACCGAGGTGGATATCATGAACGAGCTACCAAGAGATACGTCGGATAGAGCCATCAAGCTTGTCAATATGCTGCTCGACTCGGCCCTGTCCTTCGTGAAGTCCCACAGCTTGAAGCTCAGCATGCCCGAGGAGGGCTCTATCTCGCGCGCTCTGGACGAAGGTAACTTTCTATCCTGCGCTATGATAGAGACGCTCCCATTACGTAATCCTTCCCACCCCGATGACGGCCCGACGCGTCACCGGTATGAACGAATAAACTGTTCACCGAGCCTTTCACCTTCGTGATATCTATACGCGCCGCAGCAACCTGTTCCGGATAAACCCGTTCCTCGCGCGCCACCTCCTGCATTCGCTTTCCTTCTGAAATCATACGTAGCCTCCGCAGCCAGGAGAGAAGCCCGCTGATAACGCGGGGACCATTAATTAGCGACACTTAGGAACCGTTGGCTAACAGATGACAGCAAACATGCTCCGTTTGCCGACACCTTGTTACTCTTCCAACTTTCGTTTGCTCGTTCACTTTGGCAGGGCAGAGGTTTCGTTTTTGGTACTCGACTAGTCGAATTTCTGACGAGTAGTCCTGACTAACATCGACGTTGGATCACCTTCGATTACGTTGCTGCGAATTTTCTTAATTTTTTAAAACGGATGACAGATTACATAGACGTTAGATCATCTTTGATCTTTCATTTGACAGTTTTCTGTCCTGGTTCTTGTTTTGTATGATAAATCTGAGGTCCAAGACTAATAGATCACCTTTGACTACGTTTCTGCAAATGTGCCTAATTTTTTAAAACGGAAGACAGATAACATGGTCGTTAGATCACGTTTGATAATTGATTTGACAGTTTTCTGTCCTGGGTTTTGTTTTGTATGACAAATATGAGGTCCAAGATTAATTTTTATTTTTCGATTGTTATTTTCAGGTCGCGCGAAGATAAAGAAAATGGCGCTGCCGCTGATCGCAGCCGCAGGAGTGAAATTATTCGCCTTGATCCCCATTCTCCTCGGAAGTCTTGGTCTCCTGGTCGCGAAAGCCCTGTTCGTGGGCAAGATCGCCCTTCTGCTGGCCGGAGTATTAGCTTTCCAGAGACTGTTCGGTAGCAATTCTGGAGCCAGCATCTTCAGCAAGAACCCGCAACCGACTGGATGGATAGACAATGGGAACCAAGGCTGGTCAGCCAATGTCGCGGCAGCTGTGCAACCCCAGGGCTACTACAAGAGGAGCTTCGAGGCTGAAAACGGGAAAATGGACGCCCATTTGTTGGCGTACTCGGCCCAGGCTCCAATCACGAACGAAACCAACTAAAACGACGATCTCGTGTCCACGTTTTCGTGGGGAACGAAAGAATCCAGGCTACCTGGAGGCCATATGTCTCGAGTCTGGTCGCGTTTAATACCAGCCAGACTCGTTCCCGACTGCTAGGATAACGTTTAAGCGAGTAACTTATGAGCCGAGTAAATTATTAATAACCACTGTATCAATAAATTATTATCACTAATACATATATCATCTGTCGTCTATTTTTCACGCATCGATCACTGATTTTTCCCAAGTCCGGTCAGGATCGAACGGTGGATCGAAAGCAAGGACGATTTCTAACTCGGAGGAATTATTTATGCGCGTGCCGGCGGTGTAAGGCGTGAAGGTGCATAGAAAACGCGCTGTACGTGATTAGTGTATGTCCCGCCGCGAAATATCGACATGTTCGTGGATCGAGCCGACAATCGGTCTGGCTCATATGCGATTCCGATCGGACGCGAGCATACCTACGCTTCGGTTTGCACTCCCACCGCGGGTTATACCCTATTTTCTCGCCTTCTCTCTCCCCTTTCTTCCTCGTTGCTTCCATTTCTTTCTCTCCTCTCGTCTCTCCTTCTCCCGCTTCCGACCGAAAACAGATTCGGGACACGCCGGTCGGTTTTGCATGCCGTTCCGTGTCACACGCGCGAACAGGCACGGAAATCTAATTTTCACCGAGAAACTTATTACCTGCCTCGTGAATATGATGCACGGGAGTATAAGAGCGGGAGTGGCTCTGTCATTGTTAGAGAGGCCGATTGAAAGCGCGGATTCCCGTCGTGGAAACTCGCCATTGTACGCGCTGGACAAAAGGAACGCTCCGTCTCCTTTTTTATTCTTACTGCTACTGAAACGAGCGGGCCCATTGTGCCGCGAGGCACGATACTGTCCTCCGTATCCTCGCTCGTTCACCATTTCGTGGGCAGAATTTGGAAAGTACGATCTTCGATGAGCAACAGCTTGGTCCCACTTCTCTGCCATCGACTTTGCTTATAATTTTCCGCTTTTCCCGATGAAACAGGGCCCGAGAACACGCTTCCTACTTTCTTCCAAAACAAATTGGACACAGCTTCGACAAACTCATTATCTTTTCCCATTTCTCAATCACTCCGCAGACACTTTATCTATCCTCGCTGACAACTATCTACGCGTGCTGCGGATTTCTACAAATTCATATTTCATAAATTTATGCTCCCTTGCGCGTTGGGCGAGGCAAGATGGAGCTTTATTCCGCGTGGAAATAATAGAATCGATTTCGATCCGATCGATTTTCCCGCCAGCCATGAAATGAAACCTAATTCGAACACGGACGATAGACCATGCTGGTGTATCGCTCGAAAGTGATCCCGGTGAAAAGGAAAATTAGTTTCTATCGGTAGACGCTACGTCACTGGAGGCGTAGGTCTGTGCAGCGGCCAGCCGGTGAAGACGTCGAAATTAAAATTCCTGACACCGCGGCCTTTGCACGTCGCTTGCCAAATGGTTCAAACTGGCCCCACCATTGATCGCGGGCCGACGTATAAAAGAAAAATTGCCCCCGGGGCAAACAGTCAAAATCCTCGTGCCCGTCCCGTCCGATACCAAATCGATCATCAACGATGAACGCGAAGCCATTGATCGCGACATTGGCGCTGCTGTCGGTCGCCCTCGTAATGGCGGAAGACGCCAGGAGCGTGGAGATCAAGCTGACCAAAACCATGGACGAGCTGAACCGGAGGGACACCATCAAGATCTTCGGTGATATGGTGACTTTGGAAAAGGTGGACGTCGTGGAGGAAGAGGAGTCCGGAAGAGCCAGCGTGGACCCTCTAGTGAGCAAGATCGAACAGTTCTTCAGGAGCAGGAGGATCCAGGTGCACCTGCCTAACGACGGATCCTCTGCTGACATGTTTGGCAGAGCTTTGGGTGAGAAGGATATGGGATTTGAGCTTAGAGCCCTGACCACTGGAGCTTCCGAAGGTGAGATTAATTCTTGCATAGCGCGTTAATGATTCGAGTTTCTTTTTCTCTAATAACGTAGATAAAAATTTGAAAATATTCCTGTCTTCGAGTACAAGATTCGAACGAGCAAAGGTATAAAGTATCGTAACTGTAAATTACGGATTAAACTCCAACACACGTGCTACGGAATTGTTTACAATGTGTCAGAGTCCTCGTATTCGTTACAAGCTCCTTTACCTTTATCTTTGTAAACCCGAATAGAAAGCGAAACTCTATAAAACGAAGATAAAATGAGCGAAAAATAAACGGAAGGAAGGATTAAAATATTGCCAAACTCTCTCTGACTAAAGCAAAGAATCTCGAGAGAAGAAGAGGTAATAAAAGTAAGAATTCGTGGTAAAGAAAGCTCGAAGGAACTTTCTACCGTAAGCATTCCTCCGATCTCTCCTTTAGCCTACATATCTACATCTTCGACGCTGGAAACTCACTCTCTCGAATACCAAAGCGCGAAGCACTGAAAGAAAGGAAGAATATTCATGACCTTCCACGAGATCACCGGTAGGCGATCACGAGGAGTTGCCTGCCGAGGGTTACCGATCCCAAGTTCGAGGTCCGAGCGGCTGGATCTTCGACGCCTCGATCGCCGCTGTGAATGGACCGATCCACGGCCACGAACTTATAGTACCTCGCCTTTCTAAAGTCTCTCCAATGCCGTGAAAGTATGCCACGAAGACGTGGCACGATTGGCCGCAAAGTGGGACTTCCGGTGGCGAGGCTTCCGATTGGCTTCGCCGGCGGACCGACATCTCTGCCTGCTCTCCTCTTTTCCTTGGCCTCTTTTCTCTCCTCGAAATTTCCACGAACTTTTTTCTACTCCCCCGAATACGTCGGGACGCGCTCGTCGTGCTCAGGAAGAAGAGCGGAGGGCGGAAGGTGGCCACGACGAGCGTAGAAAGCCGCGAAGACGCGTCCCACTTCCTCCGCATCCGCGAAAACCTCGCGATGGCAGGGATCGGGATAAAGTGGGCCGCCGCCGAGATTCCGGGTTTCTGGGCCGGCTGACGAGAGCACACGACGAACAAGGACCTTGAACGAGAGTGCCACATGTCGAAGAAAGTAGATAGCCGGCGATAAGTGGCCATTAGAGGCTCCTAGATACCCCTCCCAGACCCCATACCTCATCGTCTCCGTGAATTTCACTCGACGATCCATTGAATCCCTCGAATTCGTGGATGTACACCAAGCCTGGTGCTCCTCCTTCGATAACAGCATACCCATTAATTGCTTTCGTTAAAGAAATCGCAAGGTTTCCTGTAATGAAAATTGACAGCAGGATTTTAGGCGTTGCATCGTTTCGCTTTCGTTCCAGCCCGAACCAAGCTGAAGAAGATCGTGCTGCCTCTGCTGCTGGCCCTCAAGCTCAAGGCCCTCATCGTCCTGCCTATAGTCATCACTCTGATCGGCCTGATAGGCATCAAGGGTCTCGGCGCTGGCCTGCTGTCCCTTCTTCTCTCCGGAGCCATCGCCCTGAAGGCGTTGCTCACGCCACCGGCCCCCTATCCAGCCAGGGTCTCCTATGGAATCGTGAAGCCAGAGGTCCATCACGAACACTGGCACAGGTCGCAGGAGGAGATAAACCAGCCTTACAGAGGGTGGGCCCCGGAATTCGCGCCTGAACAGTACCCCTACCAGGACATCCCCTAGAGCAGACCCCAAGCCTCGAACTCGTCACCTCATCCCGCCATTTTGTCTTCACTCTATTTATTATCTCCTCTGTTACCCTCGCTGTATTGAATAAAGACATCGCCTTCTCTCATTTTCTACAGCCACGCGCTTCTGCTTTCCACCCTTTGGCACCCTCATTCCTAGGATTCTCCCCGAGTCTTCGATCCCAGCATCCGTCCAAGCACTTTCCATTCCCTGGTCGTCGCCATTGGCGGCTGAAATAATGAAATAAATAATTGGAAATCTATAATCGCGAGGTAAGCAGGTTAGCCCGGTGAACGGAAGGAGAAGGCTAACGACCCAAATAGCAGTCGAGTGCCGCGCTGGCTGGAGAGAGAGAGAGAGAGAGAGGACAGGTGGGGAGACAGGAACAGGTGGGAGAGTCGGAACAGGAAGGAATCGGGGTCACTGTGACGAGAAAGGTGGGAAAAGTGGTCGAGCCGGCGATTGGCCGTTCTTGCTTCCCCGTCGGCGAGTCCTCAGGATCAAGGGCACTGGGTCAATGCCTCCACGTGGACTCCCACCTAGCGTGCTCCCTTCTTCCGCTACCGATGCCTTCCCCACTTCAGGGTTCAGAGGCGTGTAACGGGATCGGTTGTGATTAAGCCGCGTGGAGTGGGCACGAGTCTCGGGTATATACCTGGCCTGATCGAGAGGACAGCACTGTCAAGAGCACGGAGAACTCGAGGCGAGCACAAGCTCACGAGTCAGATGCTCGGTTCGAGTTTAATTAATGCACAAAGTCCACTGGTATACGCTCTTACTCCGTGTAAAGGGTTCTTCTAGATCTTTGACTAGCCGCAGGGTATCGAGCAACTTCTTTCTCAATGGGGTGCCAAGCAGGCTGATTTATTTCTCGCGTGGAATAACGCAATTTAGACCACTTTTCAAATTACTAGATGTATCCTGTTTCTCTCTATGTCGATTTATTTCACTCGCTTCAGCCATTTTGGATACATTTCTTGATTAGGAAATATAAATTTTCGTGGCAAGATTCCTTCTCTGGTAACTATTGTAAATTATAGCCTAGAGGTGCTATAATTTTACTATACTTTTCTATCAGCCTCCGTCAACAATTAACGGATAACTTATTTCGAATTAATCCTCGTAACTAATTCTATCATGGAGTAGCAGAAATTTTTGACGATGTGAGCATACTTGATCCTCTATAACTCGATGGAAGTCAGCGATTTCTATAGCACAGGTTAGATTAGCGACGTCGTTGATCGTCCGCGAGGTGTCAGGATGCAGGCTAGACGATAAGCGAATAGTCCGAAGGAGGAATCCGTGGTATTGCGGACTGACCCTGGAAAAAATGCGAAAGTACGAACGCGCAGGATGCATTTCGAGCGCATAACGGATGCTCGTTCTCGAATTAACGAGGTCTACGCAGCCACTCGGCCAGCAACCGGCATCAGTCGCCGTCAATGCACCCCGATTTTTTCTCGTTTCACCAGACCCACGGCTCGATAACGCGAGTATATTCGCTCGAGAACACCAGACGCGTGAAATAACCGGATGCACGTGACCATGAGCCGCTGTCTGGGCCGAGATATTCGCGGAGACCACGACGGTAGACTCCATATGAGATGGAAGTGTACCTCATTTACAATGCGTTTTAAAATATGTACTCGTTGTACCATTACCACCGGTAACTTTCATGAGCTGTAAAATTTCCACACTCCGACCTCCTCTCGACACGGAAATTCGTCTCTACAAATTTCCACGTTAGATTCGCTTCAAAAATCGATTCGATTGACAGCGGTAACGAAAAATTGAGAATGTCCAGGAATATTTAAACTGCGAAACCACATTGCGAGCACGCATTCGAAATAAAAGTAAGAAACAGAGCAAAGCGAGAACGATTTACAAATAATCCAAACATAGTCCCGTAAACGAAGGCCGACTTATAAATCTCCAAAATCACTAGGCGTTTCGAAAACCGCGAGTATGGCCGATTCCAAGGCGGAACAGTAGAACGATCCGTCATGGTCAGACACGCGGCCGCTCCTCGTTCCGAGCGACACGGTTTTCCAAATAACCCGCCGTTCACCGGCGATCCTGGCTCGCGAACGTCTCCTTCGAGGATCGCCAGCCGATCTTCGGGGAATTCTCCAACAGCATCCGACTGACAGCGACTTTCTCGCCGGTCGTCTCGATTTTCCAGGCGAAAATGGGCTAACAGCGCGTGATCGATCGGCTAACTCCTGCCAATTACGATCTCCGTTTACATCGTGCAATAACCTGCGCCGAATTTACGAAGATTTTAAGAAAAGAAGGAATAAGAAAGAAGGAAATACGAGGTACTTGGGCTGATCTAGTTGCCACTGAGACAGTCGTCATTAACCGAATGGAATTGCAAGATTCTGCCAACTTCTCTGGTTTCCATGTTAATTTCCTGTAGGCTGTGAGTCTCTCGATTAAATTTGATTTCATTAATTAAATTACATTGCGTACCATTCGCAATTTTTCTCGTGTTTCACGTGGTACCTGTTCAAAATTTTCTCGCGCAACCTGCTGTCACGATGTCAACTCGCTGTCTTGTCAAAGCGTGCGGTCCCTGACATATGTCTTAGCGATTTCTATGCAGTACTCACTGTGTTAACTCGGATCGATGATCTACCGATCGATCCAAAGGTGCCTTTCTCGTGTTTCACGTGGTATCTGTTCAAAATTTTCTCGCGCAACCTGCTGTCACGATGTCAATTCGCTGTCTTGTCAAAGCGTACAATCCCTGACGTATGTTTTATGCGATACTCAATGTGTTAACTCGGATCGATGTCCTACCGATCGATCCAAAGCTGTCTTTCTCGTGTTCCACGTGATATCTGTTAAAAATTTTCTCGCTTTTCACGCGCAACCTGCTGTCACGATGTCAACTCGCTGTCTTGTCAAAGCGTGCGGTCCCTGACATATGTCTTAGCGATTTCTATGCAGTACTCACTGTGTTAACTCGGATCGATGATCTACCGATCGATCCAAAGGTGCCTTTCTCGTGTTTCACGTGGTATCTGTTCAAAATTTTCTCGCGCAACCTGCTGTCACGATGTCAATTCGCTGTCTTGTCAAATCATGCAATCCCTGACGTATGTTTTATGCGATACTCAATGTGTTAACTCGGATCGATGTCCTGCCGATCGATCTAAAGCTGTCTTTCTCGTGTTTCACGTGGTATCTGTTAAAAATTTTCTCGCTTTTCACGCGCAACCTGCTGTCACGATGTCAACTCGCTGTCTTGTCAAATCGTGCGGTCCCTGACATATGTCTTAGCGATTTCTATGCAGTACTCACTGTGTTGACTCGGATCGATGATCTACCGATCGATCCAAAGCTGTCCACCCGGTGTCATTGAACGTTTCTGTCAGCTTAGTGTCATCCTCGCTAGCGAGACCGTGGAAAGCCACTGGATTCTGTTATATCATTCGGATAATGGTTTGGTGAAACTTTACCGGCGAATTAAGGACACTTATGAAATTGCAAATCGGTCGTAAAAGCGTCGGTGGTCGGTTTTAATTTTCGCTTTCGCGGCGTCTGGAAAGTAGAGTAGCAAGTGGCGTTTCTATCCGTCGCAGCTTTTCCCTCGCGACGCGGGTCTTCGAGGAGTGCAGCTCGAGGGATGATTCGTCGCATTAAAATTCGGCTTTGCCCAACCTAACCCCGTCCACTCGAGTTACGTATCGAGTGTATACCATAAAGATAGTAACAGTACACGGGGTACAGTTATGGGGAACTAGAGGAGCGCCCATTCACGTTTCACTCGCGGCACAGATCGCGTGCTAGCGATCGCCACTTGCCGACGATTGGAAAGGCGTGACCGGATCGATCGATGAAAATCGAGTCTATCGAATCAGCTCGGCACACCGTGACCATGTACCCCGACATTTTCCATTAGCTTCACTCCAGTCACATCCTCGATATCTCCGTAAGAATATCGGTGTAACCCCTTCGGAATTTTTTCGAAATTCGTTTCTAAGATCGATATTTTCGATAGTTAATCTCGATCGATAATTGTTACTCGGTTTATCGGTGATTCGAAGGAGGATATAGAGCAATGCAAGATCGAAGAGGGAATGCAGGATCGATGGATGGCTGGCCGGCTGTGCGCCGGATCGGCGAAACAGGAGCAGCTCGCCGGAGATGGCGCGATTATTAACGAAAGGAAGGCGTTGCGGTAAAAGGAAGTAACAAGTCGCGAAATAGATACCCGGAGAAGAAGGCTAATCCTCTCCTTTCCGACACACCTGCTGGCAGAGCATGCGAGCGCATCGTCCCAGGCATCCTACGAAACACCCGTGAACGCCTTACGCGTCGTCCGCGAATTTATCGGGCTCGAAACTGCACGCCCTATTGACGGAGGATAATTTCCGCGGAATGCGCAGCCTGGAATTTTTCTCCGCCTCGCGTGCCTCTAGACTCGGTATCGAGGAGCTCCAATTATTTCGCGAAACTCTGTCGAATTCCTCCGAATTTCAACAGCCTCCTAATCAGGTTGCCAGTGATACGATACTGATCCAGCGCGTTCCGGTTTAATTGCAGAGGCATATGAAGCGTCGATCCGATAAACGCGTGATTACCGACTAATTGCCGATGTAATACTTACGTACGTGGATGTGGCGTGCATGGAAATTGATTTCGCCAATAAATTTTCTCACACAACTGACTTTTTGCATCCCCGATCTTATCTCGTAGCTCTCGACTAAACTAGATAGGTCAGGTTATTACAAATCATCACAGGTAAGTTGTCACACGTTGCTATCAATTATCGTCGTAATTTCACGCATACTCGTTGCCTGTACGTACACGTATAATTTTGAGCTGTCAGTACGTACGTGGATAAATAACCAAAAAATAAATTTAGATGTACGTAATAAAATTTACCGCGATTAAAATAAATGGCGATATTTTAAGTGCCAAAAATTAAGTTTCTTTTTTAACGTATACAATTAAAGCGGGAAAATTAGATCGCAGAGGATGGTATAACGGAAGAATGTTACTTAAACTTGCTCTCGGGACCAACCAAGCAAAAAATCGAGCCGATCTCCGAGCCTCGTCACAGTATTGCGAGAAATTGAAGAACAGTTTGGATTATCGAGCTGGATTTTCACAGGCGTCCGAGCGATCACGCGATTTCCACGGCGTACTCGCGTTCGATTCGCCTCTCGCGAGAGGATCCCGTGAAAATTGGCCGCGCACTTTCTCGCCGTCAGATCCGTCTGTAGCGCCGTCGTTGGAGCGTGGCGCGCGAAAATCCGATCTCCCTTCGAGCTAACTGGGCTAATACGAAGTAGGCCTCCGCCGTCTCGTCTCGCTCAGCGGAGGGTAATAATGTCCGTCGATTTCCCTCTCCCTTGGCAGTTTTCGCGGACCGTTCGACGGTTTTTCGCTCAGCCGGATGTGCATGCTCGATTCTGCCATCGATCGACGGCCATCGACTCGATTTCGCCGTCGAGATGGAAAGTGGTTGACGCCGGGTCGCCGGTGCCGCCCATCGGCCACGATCCATCCGATCGGTCCCCATCGCTGCCGATTCGAACGAGCGCGAGGAAAATCGGCTCCGAGTCTACCTTTTCCCAAGCACGACGCACGATCGGACGCTAATGACAGACGTGACTGATATCGACGCCATCGATCAACGTAATTACGAACTCGACGGGCCCACGGACACAGGAAGTCGCGCCTGTCAACGACTACGGGGTCCCAGCCTGTAATCGACTCGCGTATAAATGATGATGTCGGTGCTATTCGAATGCAGACCGCGGGATGAGCGGTTTCTAGATCACGCGGAATCGATATCGAAGAAAGTCCGGCCGAGGGAGTACCCACGAGCAAGCGAATTCACTGGGATCCTGCCGTGACGAGGTCTGAATGGGCGTCGGTGTCCACGAGGCTTCGCTCTCATTAGACCGTCTCCGGTATCCTTTTTTCCCGGCGAATTCGACAGAGATTCGAATTCTCCGCTCTATTTGACGCTCCCTCTTGCCGCGTGCGAGCAGCGGCGGCGGCGGTGGCCGCGAGAAGGCCCCTCGCCTCCTCTTGGACCACCGCGATGGAAGAGAGCACGCCGGCTCCGGCGCGTTGCTCTCGACTTAGGAGAATGTATGGAACGACCGAAAGGCAAAAAGGAAAAAGGACTACCCGGTGACTCGCTCTATATATACTGCAACTATCCGAGGGTATGTCCAGTGCACGGTACGCGTCTCGTCCGTCAGCTTCAGCCAGCAGATCGATTCCTAGCCGCGAGCAACAGTCCGTTTCGCGCCGCCTGTCCCACCCGCCGGACCTACTCCATCAGGATCACTCCGAGATCAGGGTCTCTCGCGTCCGGATACAGAAACGTCGCACGATCCGCCCAGCACCATGAAGGGATTCCCGGTTATCGGTCAATCGTCGCTGCTGCTGCTGCTGCTGTCTCTTCTGCTCGTCCTGGGTACAGTCGTCGCGGAGATAGAGAGACGCACCTCCAAGCAGATGGTCGAGGAGTCTCCCGAGAGCCTGACGTCCAACTTGAGCAAGGACTGCGGCAAGTCGTACAGTGCCACCTGTCTCAAACTCGACGTGGTGTCCTTCCTAGATAGACTGTCCGAGCAGGAGGACATCAGCATCCTACCGGGAGTGTCGGTGATCAAGGAGAACGGATCGTCCAGTTTGCCGATGACAGAGGTGGTCGCCAATCTAGCCAGGGATTTCCCTAACGACGTGGAAAAGAGGCTGGACGCGTACCTGGTACACAAGGTTGGCAGCTATCTCAACAGTCACTCGATATCCATCAAGCTCTTCGACCCGAGGACCTTCGAGGCCGCGAGGAATTTTAACGAGGAGACCCTAGCTCAGCTCGGCCTTGGCGGAGGTCAGAGTGTCGGAACTGGTAAGGAATTACTCTGCTTAAACGGAGGTTAGGGTTAACGCGAATCGGGACGAGGTGATTGATTTCATTGATGCTCACGCAGGACGTAAGAAGGACAAGGGCGGATATGGCGGCCTGATGGCTGGCCTGATGATGATGAAGGGTACCCTGGGCGCCATTGGTTTCGGCGCGCTCGCGCTGCTCGCTGGCAAAGCTCTGATGACCGGTCTGATGGCCCTCATGCTATCGGCCATCGTCGGTCTGAAGGCCCTGGCCGGCGGCGGCGAGAAGAAGACCACCTACGAGATCGTCAGCAAGCCTGTGTACTCGAGTTCTCACACCCACAGCTCCGAGGAGCACCACGGTCATGGCTACGGGCATTCCGGATACGGCAGATCCCTCGACACGATCCACGACAGCGTCCAGCAGGCCGTTCTCAAGTACGGGAACGCGCGGGACCGTCGATCGCTGTTCCGGCAAAATTAACGAACTCGTGATCGGAGGAGCCGTCAGCCTGCAGCAGCTGATGGCACGCGAGAGATCTAGTAGCACGTCTCTACCTCACCGAGTCTACTTCGATCCCATCTACTCTCTTTCCACAGTTCACCGTTCCTCTCCATCTGCCTCTTTCTACACCTCCTCCACTTCGTCGTGCTCGCCACCGCCATTTACTCCTCGTCCCACTCTTCCTCCTTCACCTTTCTCCTGTCTGCAACTTCGTTTCGCTTTCTTGTTGCTCACGCTCACGCGCCTCTGTCCGTCACTACGCCTGCTCTCCTTTCTTCCTCTTCTTTCCCTTTTTTCTTCTAACCCACTCTCTACCCCCCATCGTCATTTACCAACTTGGTTCCAACTTGTAGGTTCGTAGGTATTTATTCGCGAAGCATGCCCCCACGTACCTTCACCCACGGTCACACGGCTCGAGCTGGTCGTCGTTGCACATGGACCATCTTCGATCATGTACATGATTTCTCTTTGTTATTTATATGTATTTATACGCATTGTAAAGTTTTAATAAATCATGTTTTTAAGAAGCCGCTTGCTACGTTCTATCCTATCGGCGAGCGCCGATTTAGCCTGATCGGACGCCTCGCCCCGATCTTTGTACCCCGAGAGGTTGCGGATGAAGATGTGTGGCTGGACGAAACGAGAGGAGTAACTGTTTCCGAAGGTTGCTCTTCGCCTCGTGCTCGCTGGGAAATTATACGTGTCGAGCCGTAATTCCAAGACGAATGTGCCACTCGATTAAATTGATGCGAAACAAGGTCGCCCCATTCTCAACTGCTATGCTCCTCGGGCTACCTGGACATTCTCCGATCGAGTTATACACAGACGTGAAGATACATTCGACGAATGGAATTATGCTTTAGCGCAAAAAGAGGGAAAAATATGGCGAAAAGCTCCACATGCTCTTACTATTTTCCCATTTAATTCGAATGATCGCCTCTTTTCGAGGAGCACAGTCTCTGCTGACCCTGATGCGTAATATAATAGCACTCCTACTATAGATGAGAATTAATTTGCTCGAAAGTAGCTACGCCTTTTCAGTAATTGCGAGGATAAGAAACGTGGACCAGTTTGTTAACTCCGATGTTAAATCGTACCCAGCCTTCGATTCACATCCGTTTCCTGAACATTATTCAAAGGATACTAATGACTCCCGGGAAGCTAGCAGAATAATACTTCACCTGTATAGATTAGATCTCCCGGTGCCATTATTTCTCTGGCAGGAAGTCGTCCCTGAAGTCTCGAAACACCGCGTCCTGTTTCGCAGACGAAGCTCGGAACCATGATCACGTCGAACTGTGAAATAATTTTATTAGGATCACCTCGTGATTGACTGGCAGATCTCAATCGTGACGGAATGGTGGAAAAATTTTTCAAATCACGAAAAATTTCACTATACACGAGCTATTGCGATCTCGGGTTCTCGAAAGTTTGACGAAGCCATCGATCGATATATTGATCGATCTTCGAGATCATATTGTTTCCAAATTTAATGTTAAATTATCCCTTTATTAAAATCCTGAGAATTATTTAAAACCCTCGAAAAATTTCGAATTTTCAACTTGAAAATGTTTATGTCTTCAAACTTGGTTAATCAAGCAATAATCATTGATCATTAGGTTTAATGCAGTGGCGCGATCTCTCGAACAACGTCCCAAGATCGTTCACCACAAGAGTGTACCTCGTCCCCGCCAGATGTACCCCTTTGTTCGTGTCACTGGATCATAGATAAAGTACAGAAGAGAGAGGCTTCTGCACGAAGATCCGTGTCACGCGGTCGGTAATCGCGACCAGCTTTACCGACAAAACACGGATCGAGTGATGATCGAAACGAAAACAAATACCGACCGAGAGATTTCGCATTGCTGTATGTCCTAGCAGGTGTGCAGAGCCATCGACCGACTTCCATTACGAAGTTCATGGTCGTCTAATGATCTTCCGGGTATTTCACACCTGGTAAACACAGACTGTAATTACGTGGTGTGAGAAAAACTTTAAGGCCCCGAGAATTGTCTATTATATTCGTGTTTCAATTATGCTTCGATATTCGTTGAACTCTTTTTATGTTAATCCGTGTCTTCCTTCTTGGACTCTCTATAGCCACCGAAGTGAAATTTGCGACCCAGTACCGGTTCTTTTTACGTCACACCTGTTACCATAGAATCCACCGTGCATTCCTCGTTGGACTATTATTCATTCGGTGATTATTCACTTGGCAATCTTTCCAGACACCTAATCCTATCATCACCCATTTCGCCCATCGAAGAATCCTCGCAAGTTCGCAAGAATCCTCTCTTCAGCAACCGCACATTGATGGATTCAGCCATCATTCGATTCTTCGATAATGAAATAATACTATTCGTGATACAGTGATTCGTGTCCCATTTATTTTATATCCCCCTGTTTTATTGATTTCTTGTTCCTATTTATAAATCTCCTCGACACGAGCTTCCCTTATTGTATTTCCCTTCGTAATAAGTTCCCCATTCGTACAAATCACTGTATAATTCTTATAAGCATCTGTAACCACTGAAATAACACGATTGAACGACCATGGGGCTAACCCAGACGAACCCATAGCTCACGCGAATGGAAAGCATTCGCTTTAATCGCGCGATAACTGTACGCCTAGGGAATTAAGTCGCGCATCGAAATGCGTGTTCAATGGTGCACGTACTCGCGAGCTCGTCTTAGAATCGACCCTGCACAATAACTGACCCACATCTATCCGCTGCCTAGCCACTTCGCATTCATGGCACGTACCATTTTCGGAGACAACGCGATCCGATTTGAAACGGATAACGGCAGTCTTTCGGCCAGCCGTTTCTTCCTCCGCCATTCCTCTAGACGAATATTCTTCTTCTCTGCGAAATTTCTTCCAATTGAATTTCAAATGGGGAAGTACGGTTTAGGTTGGTCGCCTAACTGCTTCTCGTTCCTCGAGTTGAACTTAGGATTCGCTGAATCTTCCTTCGAGTGCTTTAATTGGAATAATTGGCTTGGTAAATCGAAACCCGAGAGAATTTTGGGGATTAGGAAGGGACAGAATCATTGGTCGTTTGGTAAGGTGGGAAATTTGAATATTAGAGTGTCCAAAAATATCGAAGTTTGGAGGAATTTTAGGTCACTGGCTGATTCTCCGAATCTCCTCTAAAATGCTTGCTAAATTAAATTTGTAATTAATGTAGGGAACTTGGCGGGATTTTTTAAATGTGGAGAACATCGGAGACGCCATTGATCTTCGAAATATGAATATTAGAGTGTCCGAAAATATCAAAATTTGGAAGAATTTTAGGTCACTGGCTGATTCTCCGAATCTCCTCTAAAATGCTTGCTGAATTAAATTTGTAATTAATGTAGGGAACTTGGCGGGATTTTTTAAATGTGGAGAACATCGGAGACGCCATTGATCTTCGAAATATGAATATTAGAGTGTCCGAAAATATCGAAATTTGGAAGAACTTTAGATCACTAACTGCTTCCCTATACTTCCTCCAAAATGCTTGGTAGATTAAATTTGTAAGTAACGTAGGAAACTCCATGTGATTTTTCAAATATGGAGAACATTGGAGACGCCATTGATCTGCGAAATATGAATATTAGAGTGTTTTAAAATATCAAAATTTGGAAGAATTTTAGGTCACTGGCTGATTCTCCGAATCTCCTCTAAAATGCTTGCTAAATTAAATTTGTAATTAATGTAGGGAACTTGGCGTGATTTTTTAAACATGGAGAACATTGGAGACGCCATTGATCTGCGAAATATGAATATTAGAGTGTTTTAAAATATTAAAATTTGGAAGAATTTTAAGTTACTGACCCCTTCCTTGCACCTCCTCTGAAATGCTAGCTAGATTAAATTTGTAAGTAATGTAGGAAACTCTGTGTGATTTTCCAAATATAGAGAACATTGGAAACGTCATTGATCTTTGAAATATGAATATTAGAATGTCCGAAAATATCAAAATTTGGAAGAATTTTAGGTCACTGGCTGATTCTACGAATCTCCTCTAAAATGCTTGCTAAATTAAATTTGTAATTAATGTAGGGAACTTGGCGTGATTTTTTAAACATGGAGAACATTGGAGACGCCATTGATCTGCGAAATATGAATATTAGAGTGTTTTAAAATATTAAAATTTGGGAGAATTTTAGGTCACTTCACTGGTTGCTTCTCTGAATTTCTTCCAAAATGCTTGCTAGATTAAATCTGTAATTAATGAAAGAAGCTTCGTGTGATTTATCAAATATGGAGAACATCGGAGAGTCCATTAATCTGCGAAATTTGCATATTCAAATCCTGGGGAATTTCGTGTCAGTGGTGTGGACACTTTTTATCTTCCAGGGACTAATTATCGCTAAACTGCTTTCACTCGGATCGGAAACACACATTGGTCGACACTAAACAGACTCTGGCCCAAATCTCACAGTTGTCAAAACTTTCTCAAAAATTTCCCTGTTCGTCATCTATTTTTATTACATTATTCCATTTTTCGAAAATTCTAATTATTTCTAAATCTAATTATTTTTGAGTCAATTATCGACCACTGGCAGCCAATTCTGAGACATTCTTAAAGAAACTCGGTATATTAATCCGAAGATTATGCGATTCTGCCATTACGTGCAATTAGTACCACGTTAATTATTACATGAAAACAGGTACACTTAGACTGAGTAAATAGATATCGAAAATATAGCCATTACATAAGGAAATGTACAGCCAGCGACAAAATGACAGCACACTCTGCAATTTTCAATATTCTTCGAGTAACTTCAGAGCGATATATCTCGATTTATAATCAAATTTGATTTTATAAAGCAAGGTTAGTATTATACACAGCAGTTGATAAAGAAAAATTTGGAAGAAATTTACAATCTTAAGAATATTTTCGAACAAATAACAGAAATTAATACTCTTTATTTATTTATTTCATAAATTTAAATTGGTAAGCAATGTTTGCTTCCAGATATATAAGCCT